GTGTAATGGGGGGGAGGGTTGGGAGGGGAGAAAAAGTACAACAATGAATGAATGGAAATCCAAAGTCTCTGTAAATTTTCACTGAAATTAATAATAAATTGGGAAAAAAAAAACCCTTCTCAGAACAATTTTCTGAAAGAGACAGCAATTTAAGGCAATAAAACAATGTAAAATTCTAATTTGAAAAGTCTCAGAGTTACATATAAGGTCAATAATGCTTTTAAGAAAGAAAAATATAAAAGGACATTAACTTATAACAAAGTCTCCACAAATCTTACTCTCCTTGCTTCAAAGATTTCGCATTTATATGGAATACAATTTTTCTTTGGAAATCTGTAATTTCTTTTAACCAGGTCTAAATAAAGAATTTTCCTCTACATAATAATAGCAAAGTTTAAATAATAACCTGTTCTAATTTGAGAGCCAAAAAAACATATCACATTTACCTGATAAAACAGAACTGTAAATTTTGACATGCAATCTTCACAGCAAAACTTTTCTAACTTGCCCTCCAATCGATTTTCTACCAAATGAGGGGATGTCTGTGAACAGTAACTGCATATATTACAGTAGTTTCTCCATCGTTCTCCAAAATCACGTGCAGAAAGGGATTTGCAAACTGAAAATCAGACAGGAAGAAAAAAGAATAAGATTTAAATGAACTTTTTAAAGATAAAAAGAATTTATACTACCAGGAGAAAATAAAATAGATGAATGGGACCTTCTAAGAATCAGATCCCTATGCACATCAAAAATATTTCTTGTGCTCGCTTCAGCAGCACATATACTAAAACTGGAATAATACAGAGAAGATTAGCATGTCCCCTGTGCAAGGATGACACACAAATTCGTGAAGCATTATTTTTTGCGAACTGGGCGAGAGGGGTGGGCAGGGAAAAAAGTGCAACAATGAATGAATGGAAATCCAAAATCTCTGTAAATGTTCATTAAAATTAATAAAATAAAAATTTTAAAAAATACTTCTCTAACAGGGTAAAAAGGAAAACCAAAAACTGGGGGAAAATATTTAGCAAACACATATTTGGTAAGGGACTTATATCTAAAACATATAGAATACTCCAGGATCTCCACAAAAAAAAAAGGGTAAACAACCCAGTCACAAGATGGAAAAAGATTATAAATAAACCTTTCAACAAAGAAGACATCAAGATGGTAAACACACACATGAAGAAATATTTGAAATCCCTAGTTATTAGTGAGATGAGCATCAAAACAACTATGAAATATCATTTCACCCTACCAACCAACAATAGCAAAGTTCAACAGGACAGCAAACAACAAATGCTGACAAGGCTGTAGAGAGACTTGTATTCTTATTCACTGTTAGTGGGAATGTAAAATGGTACAATCACTATGAAAAGTGATTTGGCACTTCCTAAAAAAGCACTGGGGGAGGGGGAGGATCAGAGGGGAAGAAAATGTTAAACAATAAAAAAAAAAATAAAAAACTGAGGACAAAAAAGAATTTCTATCATCTTAAGTAACAATCTTATATTCACTTCTAAATATACATTAAACAATTATATGCTCCTAGCTTAAAGGACAGTATCACAAAACAAACTTTCATCACTTTTAAAATATATTTAAAACATTAAGCCAGGTATATTAAAAATGCCAGAGATATAAAAGTCAAGAGCAGCAATGCTTAAGTACCCTCTTTACAAAAGGATGCTAAAACAAAAACATCTTTAACTTATATGAGATCTTCTATACTATTAATCTAAACATATTTTAATTTTTTTTCTTTGAGATTATATGAATTTAAAGAAACAGATTTAAAGTAAACTATATACAAATTCAATGTAAAGACTTTGTCATTATATACATACTACACCTTACACAATAAAAACTACTTGAAAACTAACTGTGGATTAATAGTTCAAATCATTATAAAAATCACATGCTCACTTTGGGTAAAACCAAACATGTTCCTTTACCTTCACTACAAAATGGCTTGTCAACGCCTGAGAATCGCACAGTATCCTTTACAATTTTCTGAAGTTTACAGTAGTCACACATTGCCACAACTTTATTTTTCTTTTTATATTCATCAGAACAAGTCTTGCCACAAAAAATAAACATTCTGCCCTGCAGAAAAATAGCCATCATTAAGGTCTAACTACAAGGTTGCTTTCTCTTTCATGAATTCTTAGCGTTATTTTCAAAGCAAAGTTGAAAAAACAAAAATATTTCCAAGCTGGTATTTAATCCCGTTACCTTGTAGAAAAGAAGTTCTGGTTTTATGGCAAACTGATGGTTACAGTGCTGACACTTGAGCATAGAAACTGTCCGAGGTAAAGCAACTTGCTGGGACTGATCACCAGGAGGCTGGAGACTAGCTGCAGCAGAGCCACTGACCGAGCTGTGGATGGCGTTACCTCCTCCTGCTGACACTGCTGACTTGGCTGGGGGGCTTACAACCCCTTGGCCCTGAGAAGGGAGCACTGATGAAGAGTTTGTGCCTTTTGGTTTGTTAAATACATTCTGAAAGAACACAAATAAGTGAATAAATGACATGGTAAATTTTCTCACTTTAGCAAATTGTTAACCGACCCATATTTTGTTTAATGGTTCTTTATAAAGTTATGGAAAGTATTTAAATGCCAATATGGTTAAAATGGAATAGAAAGATTGAGAAATACAACATTAGGAGGTTGAGGACTGCAATAAGGCTTTTCAGCCTTATTTTCTAGTATTTTCTAGTAAATGCCTCTAGCAGATTAGAGTAATCTCTCCTTTCTACCAAGATACGCTTTTAACTACATGTCCATCACCAATTAGTCCCTGATGGCAATAAAGCACTGTAGCCACACCACCTGTCTCCCTGGTGAGAGAGAAAGCCAAGAGAGAAAGGAAAAGGGAAGAGTAGCCATGGATTGACTCCTAAGAAAGAGAAATAAAAAAGAAAACTCTAAGACCCAACAACTGGTTCAGACCTTTTATGGTCATGATCTTTAGGATCTTGGTGGAACATATTTTTTTTTAAGTTAACTTTGAAGTGTGGAAGTAGGGGCTTTCAGTAGTTAAAATTCTGTCCCAGGTCAATATAAAGAAAATTACATAACTCAAATACTACCTGAGATCATACCTGGAAAGCTACAACACAACCAGAGCTGCAGAAGCTGTATATAGTTCCATTTGACATGGCTAGGTGATACAGAGGGATTGCTGAAGTGTTACAACTATGACATGCAACCCGGACCCCTGGGTAACAAAAAATAAAAGTCAATTATTTGTTCACAAAATATAAAAAAAATATAAACTAGGAGAATTAAAATAACATATACTTAATAATATACAAGAAAACAAAGGATATTTATAATAACGACAGAATTACACAGAACAAGGGATAACATTGCTGGTATCAGATGTTCAAAGCGAAGAATACCAGAAAGATGTTTAGCTGTGTTTTACTGACTATGCAAAGGCATTCAAACGGGTCATAACAAATCACAGACAACACTGAGAAGAATGAGAATTCCAGAACAACTGTGCTCATGTGGAATCTGTACATAGACTAAGAGGCTTAGCTGTATAAACAACTAAGGGGATCCTGAGTGGTTTAAACTCAAAAAAGTCGTGTATAAGGGCTGCATCTTTTCATCAACTTAATTCAATCCATAAATTGGGCAAATAACCTGAGAAATTGGATTACATGAAGAACATAGCAAACAGACTAGAGGGTGACTGTTCAGCAATCTGTGATATGAGCAAAATTTATTTCTGAAGTTAAAAGGTCTAGAAGCACTGATGAAAAGATTATAACCTTTAGTAAGATTATACCTCAATAACAAATCCTCACAATAGGACTAGTAAGCAATATTATGTTGTTTATACTGTTAAGGATTGTTGTTTATACTGTTCAGTGCTGTCAAGCCAGAAATGACTCACAGCTTACCCTTCAGTAACTTTTTAGAGGCTGTAAATTGCAGGAGAGGAGACTGATTTTATTTTACTTGGATCCACAATCACAGCCTGTGAAAGCAGCAGTGAAGAATTCAAAACACCACACTGCATTAGGCAAATCTACTGCAAAAGATTTCTTTAAAGTGTTAAAAACCAAAGATGTCACTTCTAGGACTACGCTATGTTTGATCCAAGCCATGGTACTTTCAATTGCCTCATATACATGTGAAAGCTGGACAATTAATACAGAGAATCAAAGAACTGATTTCTTAGAATTATGGTGCTGGCAAAGAGTCCATAAATACCATGGACTGCCAGAAGAATGAATAAATCTGTTTGGAAAAGTACAGCCACAATGCTCCTTACAAGAAGGGATGATGAGACATTGTTTTATATGCTTTGGACATGGTAGCAGGAGGGACCAGTCTCTGAAGAAGGATATCATGCTTAGTAAAGTTAAAAGGTCAGGAGCACAGTGGCAACAACAATGGGCGCAAAGATAGCAACAAATATAAGGCTGGGACAAGATTGAGTTGTGTTTCATTCTGTTGTACAGATTTCTACAGGTCAGAACTGACTCTGAAGCATCTAACAACGAATAACTAACCTTAATCTCAATTAACTCTCATTTACATAGAAAATAACTTGGCTCTTATACATGTTGTTGTTGTTGTTATGTGCCGTTGAGTCGTTTGCGACTCATAGCGACCCTATGCACAACAGCCCTAAACCCTGCTCTATCCTGCACCAACTGCACTGCCTCTGACACACCCATCCCGAATACCCCAGTCACGGAATCAATCCATCTCATAGAAGGTCTTCCCCTCCTGCGCGTCCCTCCACCCTCCCAAGCATGA